GTGATAAGGTCATATGTCCAGTCCTCTTTGGTAAATTTACTTGAAATAAGGAATCTGAAGACTCTCACTCCTGTACTGTGTTTCACATTAGAAAAGCAGAGCCAAAGCCCTATTTGAACTAAATTGGGATCATAATCTTTCTCTGTGGTACTGTAGAGTAATAAATATAGTAGTAGTAAGAGCATGCTTTTAGAACATTAAGGAAGGGCCTTTACAGACTGCCAGAAATAGTGAAGCTTGAAGCCACTTTAACTGTCCTGGCTCAGTGCTAAGGAATCATGGGAACTGTAGTTTGACAGAGAAGGCTCAATATCCCCCCCCCCCCCACAAAAAAATACAATTACCATTCACTAGCACTGAGCCAGGACAGTTAAAGTGGCCTCAAGCTGCACTAGATTAATTATACAGTTGCCACATAATTGATAATTCTGCACTTGTTTTTCCATTCGAATAACAGCCAAAGGAATCCCAACTCAAGTCAGAAAAGGAGACACAATGGTGAATGAATCTTTTGGTTTTCCTTTTTTCTGTTCAAAATTGCCTCACTTTTAAGTACAAGGATTTGTCCTCCGCTCAGGTTTCCAATGCAATAGCTGTTTCAAAAGTGTGACTGGGTACAGTGGGGACCAATGGTGTGCATGTGTGTGTGTGTGTGTGTGTGTGTGTAGAAAGAGAGAGGGGCAAATTCATCTTTGCACATACGTAAATTTTCCATAGATGTATCTTTGATGGAGTTGAGTAGGGAATGTTCCAACATAACATCAAAAAATATTGTTTGTTTGCTCAGCTTGTGTTTCTTAACAGCCCGACAGACCTCACTAATCACTGTTTTGCAAATGCTCCTAAACAAGGTATTCTGAGGTGGAAATAGGAAAACAAACAGCAGTAAGAGACGTCATTCTCCCCTGAGAGATGTTGAAATTCTAGGAACTTTCATTCACAACAACACCATCAGGAATACAAGTCATTCTATTACAAGGTTAAAAGCGTTTCATCTCGAAAACAAACAAGGTCTCATAGAAACTTGGCTAAGTGAATAGCCTTTAGTATTACTTGAAATGAAGGGACTTGATTGTCAACCTCAGTTTGAATTGATCCCAACTGGCACAGAGAAGTGCTGTCCTAAAGTCTAAAGTCTAGATCCAGGAAATGCCCTTGACATCACTGTGTAACATCCCTGCAGCACTATAGGACCCAGTGTGATTATTGCTATTTATTAGTACTACTCCTGCTAGTATTCATCAGGAACCAACGTGTATGAAAAATATAATTATTATTATTTTTTAGCTGCAGATGTACATAGTTTTCAAAGGGAATGAGAAAAAATTATTGAGGACTAGACTACCAATGGTTACTGTTAAAGATGGATATATTTTCTTTCTAATACTCAAATCAGTAAACCTATGAATACATACTGTTGGAGTCAGCAGGTGTGAGTGCAGTTGCATTCAGGTGCTTCTTGTGAACTTCCCATAGTGAGGTGGGCAGGCATTGTTTGTGCTTGTCTTATCATTGTTGTTCTTATGTCCTTAACTCCTACCTTCCAATATTTCACAAATGAAAACCAGGACATGTGTGGCCAAGCAACATCAGAGTGTGGTCAAGATGGGAAAAGGTATTCATTAAGGAGGAAGAACATACAAGCTAAGACCAGCTGCAGCAGTTTCCTTTTGCCTGAGCTAATTGGGAAGGGCAAAAATCTACCCCTGCTCTTCTTTATACTCTCTTTATTGGACTCATGGGTAAGCCCACCCTCAGGAGAAATGGCAATGTGCCAGATGATTTGTCCATCATTAGTTGCTCCTCCATAGACAGGCCATCCCCTTTCCCTGTGCTGCTCATCATGGAGAAGGGGTGGCAGTGTGATGCCTAGCATGCAAACAGTGGGCCAGCCCAATTCGGGCCTGATCCAGTTGTTTGCATGCCACAACCCCCACTGGGGTTTCAAGCCTGTGGCTTTCCCAATTCTGGGGCAAAGTCAGGTTAGAATCATAGAATCATA